ATATTACTTAACACTAATATTAACTTCAAAGACTTGATAGACAAGATTTTCATTTTTTGGTTCAGTCAACTTATGAAGAGGCAACAACTGTGGTAAACTTAAAACAAACAAACAAAAACCCACATAACTAGTGGAGTCCACAACAGAATGTGAAATTTGAAAGCTTTTAAGATACAATAGATATTTAATGTAACCTTTTATTTTGTGTTTATAAAAGAATCACATTTTGCAAAAGATTACAATATTTGTCATTTCATCTGATTCTCACAACTATGAGAGTTAAGTAGGACATGTACTATTATTCTTATTTTACAAATAAGTAAAGCAAAACTCAGCAAAGTTAAATATTTTGCATCATCTAGATAGCTCCATCCTGTGATTCCAAGTGCTCCTTCTATCATGTTGCCAACAGTTTTACGCTTTATACTTTTCAAGCTGTGTCATAAAGATTAATGCTTAGACCAGGAAATTTGGAAAATACAGTAGAACACAAAGTTTTATGATCTTAAAAAATTTTTTTAAGTTTTGCTAAAAATCTCTTTATTGTATTATATACAATTTATCCAGCTAAAATGAACCAGTTAAATCAGAGGAACCCAAGAAAAACCTGCATTTACTAAAGCAAAGAGAATCCAATTTTAAGTGCTAAACTGTGAAATAACGTGACCCTACAATAGCACCATTTTTCAAGGCTTAAAAAAAAAAATCACTTCTAACAAGATTCATCTCAATCACTGAAGTTTATTCTAAACCAAATAAGGCAACTTATAAGATCAAATGATTCTGCATCATGATGGGGAAACCTAAGAAACATTTTAGTCACTGAGAAATGCTAGCTTCCCCAAAATTATCAGCTTCAAAGATAGTTTTTTTAAAATGTCATTCCTCTATATTTATTTCACCTAGATTACTACCAAACCAAGGACTAGAGAGGACTGGTGAACCAAATGGGAACATTTAACAAATAAGTGAAATAATTTAATAGACTACTGGGAGAAATTTTTTTATCAGTTATATAATTAATCTTCCAAAATAGTCCAATAAACTATAAGTGCACAAAAATAAAAACTTTGCAGCATATAAACTGCATACTATACCCTCACATCCCAAAGCTAGGTGGTAGACTGCACATATTGGGCTTGCAAAGATGGCCTAAAACTAGTTTCAATCATTAGTTTGACACCCATTTTGAGGGAATAAAAGCACCAAAGTGAAGAGGCTGAAAAAAGAATTTCTTTGGAAGAAGTTATTTGTGGAAAAATATTGTGGAATTGTTTTCCTTGTTCCCACTTTACCATGCATGAGTAGCTCAAACACAGAGCCCTTAAACTGGTCCCCTGTAGTGTTGATACAGGATTCATGACTAGAAAAGCCTAAGAGACTGTGGTTGGCTACCTGTTCAAATAAAACAAAGAAAAATGGCTGCATTGTACTGTTTTTGGCCTGTATACACACACTCTGTCAGGGCAAGGGATGTGAGGCATTTCCCTGTGGATCTGACGATAGCACAGGTATGGAGACAGCTTAAAAAGGACTTTGTCCAACAGGGTTATCTAGAGAGGCATTTGGATGCCAATGGAGAGTTCAGAGGATGAAGAAACTAAAAGCTGGAAACTAAGGGCTGAAGATAAGCCTTAAGAAGCTGGCTAGAGGTATTGCCTATTACAGCAGATTGCTAACTAACCAGATCATCAGCTAAGCACATAACTAGACTAGTGAGGGGTGACAGAGCTCTAGCCAAAGAAATGTGAGAAAAAGTAATGTAGGCCTGAGCCATAGAAATGTCCCACATGTACTTCTCCTTGCCCTTTCCTTTTCTAACTCCATGCAAAAAGCAGAGACCTTTACTAAATAGTTATTATACACCGAATGCCTACTTAGAGCTGTTTTCTTCAGACATTATCTTATTCCAATGATTGGATGGTAACAAACCCAACTGATCAGATCCTGTTTCCTGAGAATTATGAATTCCAGCCAGACAGGAGTGGGCAACAGAAGGTTATCTTCTTCTGAAGATATGACAAAAAANTATATATATATATATATAAATTTGAATGAGTGGTAAAAAAAATGTATTGAGAAGTATGTAATCAAAAAACCTTGGAGGTGTTAAAGAAAAATTATTCCTGACACTTGTTAAAGACAGTAAATCAGACTTTATTCAAGGGGGCCATGGTGGTGGTTTTCTTTTAATTGGGTAGTTGAGGGAGGGAACAGCATTGGGGAGTCAGGGAAGGGGAACAGACAAGTTGCTGTCCTTTGGTTCTTCAGGCTAATTGTGGAGGACGTCGCTTCACTGGCCCATGTTGGTGTTACCATTGTGCTCTTCCCGGGTGAGGTAGTCACTTGCCGGCCATTGGACGGCCACTCATGGAGCTCACGGCAGCTCACTGCAGCTTCACTGCAGCCTACGCCATCGCCTGCGACTCACAGCAGCCCAGCTTCAGATGAGCTGTTCTCCATCTTAGCTGTAGAGGGCGCAGCATCACTGGCCCTCATGTGGGATCCGAACCAGGGCCCTGCTGCTCAGAGCTGGCATCCCAAGCCAACTCCTAATCAGCACACCACTTGGCCAGAACTGGGTTCTTAATAGGGGTGAGAAATTGGGCTCAACTTTGAATACAACAGGATTCGTAAAGTAGTCTAGGGTAATAAGACATCACCTAGGGGATAATGTAGGATAAGGAATCCAATCAGATATCAAGGGAGAGGGATTCTGGTTAAACTGACTTAGCAGGATTCTTGCTAGAACTGGACACTACAAGGAAAGACATGGGAGCCCAAGGTCAGGTCTAGTAAAAAAGAGAACACATATATGTACACACACACACACACACACACACACACACTCCTATATACACAAAAATACTTGTATTTGCTGTTATTAAAATATAAAGTCCAAATTAACATATAACATACTACTACTTGGAAATACTCATGCTCAGTCACTGTATCAGAGCTCAACCAGAGAAATAGAACCAATGGGAGATACATATTAAGGAATTTTTTGCAAGGAATTGATTTACCAAATTGTGGGGACTGGCTAGGGGTCAAGCCTGAAATCTGTGTAGCAGGCTGTCAGAACAGGCAAGCTGGAACTCTCAGGCATGAGCTGAAGTTTCAGTCCACAGGCAGAAGGAAATTTCTTCTGGGAAACCTCAGTTCTACTCACAAAGCCCTTTCTTTTTTTTTTTTTTTTAAAGATTTTTATTGGGGAATTGGGATGGGAACAGTGCTNCAGAGTCTTTATCTGGTTGCTTACATGGCTTCCTTATAATGAATCCCCACCATCTGAGATGATGCTTCTTAAACTGGAGAACACATACTTATGACTATAGAAAACTGGCTATTATAAGAAGCAGATCGTGGGCGGCCAGTTGGCTCAGTTCGTTAGAGCACAGTGCTCATAACATCAAGGTTGCCGGTGCGATCCCTGCATGGGCCACTGAAGCTGCGCCCTCCACAACTAGATTGAAACAACTACTTGACTTGGAGCGGATGTGTCCTAGAAAAAGATAGTTCCTTAACAAAAAAAAATTTTTAAAGCAGATCGTAAACAGTATTTATTGAAAAAAGTCACCTATAAGTAGACCGGCACAGTTCAAATCTGTGTTACTCAGGGGTCAGTTGCACACCCTCTCAACAGCTTAGCACTGATCTGCACACAACTGGTCCTAAAATATTGAACTAAATTAATATGAATAACACTCCAAAAATATAGAAATTCTCTTGTTTTCAATTATGGTCTTTGCTATCAAGTAAATGGAAAAATCTTAAATATGTAGAACTCATGGGACAGCATCATAGGGAAAAGGAAAATAAGCATTATCTTCAGTCTTATTTGTAACTGATAGAAGTTGCAAGGAAAAATGTCATGATTTTAGGTTAAAACAAAGATACAACTTAAAAACTGCATGGGGCCAGCCGAGTGGTGCAGTTGGTTAAGAGTTGGCTTGGGAGCACAAGCTCTGAGCAGCAGGGCCACCAGTTCAGATCCCACATTAGGGCCAGTGACGCTGTGCCCTCTACAGCTAAGATGGTGAACAACAGCTCAACCTGGAGCTGGGCTGCAGTGAGTGGCAGATGGTGTAGGCTGCAGCCCCTGTGGCAGTGGACTGCTGTGAGCCGCTGTGAGCCGCCGTGAGTGGCCGTCCAATGGCCGGCAACTGATCTGCCTCAGCCGGGAAGAGAGCAATGATCACAATACCAACATGGGCCAGTGAAGCGACGTCCTCCACAACTAGACTGAAGAGCAAAAGGACAGCAACTTGTCTGTTCCCCTTCCCCGATTCCCCAATAAAATCTTTAAAAAAAAAACACAAAAAACTGCATGGATAACAATACAAGGTAAAAGAACTCACAAAAGCATGTGGGCTGATCTACTTTTGCTTTATGCCATTTACAGCAGCCTAAGTTATGAATATAACCAGACAAGCAAGACTTGTGCACTTAAAGGAATACTGTCCTGAACCCCAGGTAAGTAGGACACATAGGCTTAAGTGGTACTAGGACGCCTGTTACCTATATTCTTTGCACTAGGCTCAATTGATAGTCTAGCCTCCAAAGAAAGAATTTGAAAAGCAGAAACAGTCATAGTTAACATCAGTAATTTGTATTTTAAATCCATTATCTCATTCGATCCTCACAGCTCTCGGAAACTGACAAAGTTAGTAATGATTTCAATTCTCCACTTGAAGAAGCTGAGGCTGAGAGAGTGACTTCCCCAGTCAAAGGTTGGTAAATGGCTCCTACTCCGATGTCTTTCTACTAGCTCATTTTACCTCGATAATAACAATCAATCTTGGTTTTAAGTATGTTGTATTACTGTCTAAGTTATCTTGAAGTTAGCAACATTTAACAAGGAATATCACATTTATAGTTTACGTCCATGGAAAACGAATGCCACACTTAATTTGTCAAAGGCAAGCTTAAGAGAACACGTGGACTTATTAATTCAAAAGGACTCTTCGCGGGAAAATGAGAACAGTAACAGTACCTACCTCTTTAGATTGCTATGTGGATTAAATGAGATAACACACGTGAAATGCTTAACGTAATATCTGGTCTCGTAGTTCGTACTATATATCACATGACGTCTTTTCCCAAAGGAAAGTTTGCTTTCCGACCTCGAAAATTAACAAACTCAGAAGTTGGGTAGGAAAGAATGCGAAAGGACGGAGTGAGGGGCAGGGGAAAACTAGGACCTGGCTACTCTTCCTTGAACACTTGGCGAAGGGCGCTACGCTTTTCAGGAAGAATGACCCACAGGAAGGGCTAGGGGCGGCGGTGGCGCCACCAACCTAATCCGCGGGAGGCCCTCGCGGTAAGGACTGCAGGAGTTTGACAGCGACTCAGACTAAACCACCAGAAGTCCCAACACGTGGTTCCTCCTCCCGGCTCCTCCCTGTTCCCCTCAACTCCTCGTGTTAGAGGCTCAGAGATCCCGGTTTTCTAGACTCAACCGGTACTGCCGCCTCACCTCAAGAAGGCTTCCCATCCCAGAGACTCGCCCAGCCCGGCCTTGCAAAATGTACCTCAGTTATAAGCCCATAACTGGAACAGGAGAGAACACTACCTCACACACAGCGCAGAGCTGACGACCGGAACTCCACCCTCTACCCCTCTGATTGGGTAAACGCGCAAAGGAAAATGAAGAGGATTGGTCAGTAACAGAGAGGCGGGTCATAGCCCAGAGGAAGTGAAAGAGGCGGGGCGGAGAGGGACGAGGAATTGCCGGGAGCTGGCCTCTCTTCGGGTTGGATGAAAACAGGATGTCTGCGTCTGTGTCCGTACACCACCGTCCCTTACGTTACGTTAACGGAAGTTTCAACGACTCATTGGTTGTGATCTAGGGTTGAGCCTCCTGGCTGCGTGGCCAATAAAGGACAAGAATAAAGTGAGTTCCGCCTCTTCCTCCGACGATTGGGTCCTTCCGTTGACATTGGGCAACGTGAGTTCCTTGCTGCGTTTAGACGCTGGAACTTCCACTGAGCCAATCTCGGGTAGAGAATTGTTTTGGTAACGAGGAAGGTTCTACTGCAAGTAAAAAATACTTAATAGTTAGAAATGGACCCTGAAACACCCACATACGTTCAGAACTTCTAAGTAGGACTTCAGTGTTGGGACTCAAAGGAGCCAGTCCTTTACTCCCTCTTTGGTGTGGCTGTGCCATTGGTTGAAAAAGTTATCCATTTGAAGGTAGTAGCTCCCTCTCCGCCCCATGAACTCTGGTTCTGCCTTATTAACACCCGCTTGACGTTTACCGTGGTTCTGATGTGTTCCGTTGTGCTTTTTAGCTTTACACTTATCAGCACCATTAAAACCAAAGGGCACTTAGGAAAACTGGAGAGACTTAATGTATGCTTGTAAAAAATAAGCATTAGTGTTTCAAACATTTTACTACGGTGCCTGGCACTCTGCTAGGTGTTCGTAATTATAGTAATAGGGTGGATCGTAACATTTTTGGTTTGTAATTTTTTTCTGTGATAACAAAATGTTCTTTGATTTTCATATTAGTGTCCATTTGAGAATATTTGAAAAATACCCTAAATTTAGCAATTGTACATACTATATTGGCGCGGGTAGCCGCTGCTTACATAAATCAAGTGTTGATATGACATGAACCAGAACTGGCTGCTGTCTTGACAAGAAAATAGTGTTGTAGTGAAAATGCCAAACATGAACAGTTTCAGCAGGTACACACATGGTACATTATTCATGACTGTATTATGAAGTCCATTTTCAGCATTTATGAAACCAAACGTCATGTTGGTTTAAGGCAGGGTTTCCTTGCCTTTATTGAATCATGAAGTCCTTTTACTTCTTTGAGTTCATTTAATAATATTTCATCACTTTTGTGTTTAGCAAAAGTAAAAGTCAATCTATAAATACCAAAAACTGTACCTGAATGGACTTTTCTCTTTCCATAAGGTTGTTCTTATTTAACAAGTAATACAAACTTTTGTGTAAGAAAAAAACAAGGTTTGTGAACAGTAGTTCTACATTTCTAGATTAAAACTTAAGTACACTTTACAGGATTAAAGCCAATAGAAAACTGCTTTTATGGCTTGTTTTTTGGAGTTATTGCATTTTTGTTTTAAAAATTCAAATGATAATTTTTCGTGTCTTGTTTCTAAATGATGAGAGGTTTCAGGTTGTTATTTGTAAATGAAACATGGGCGATATAACTTCTTTTTATTCTTAATAAATGAAGAGCCTAATTGTGTGTAATCACCACTATATTTCTCCTTTGAATAATCTACATTGTTAGGCCCTTGCTCGTTAATAAAGACCTGAGAGGGCCGGCCGAGTGGCGCATTGGTTAAGAGCTGGCTTGGGATGCCAGAGGGCCCCGGTTCGGATCCCACATATGAGGGACAGTGACGCAACGTCCTCCACAACTAGACTGAAGAACAAAAAAATGACAGCAACTTGTCTGTTCCCCTTCCCCCAATTCCCCAACGCTATTCCCATCCCCCAATTCCCCAGTAAAAATCTTAAAAAATAAAAAAATAAAATAAAGACCTGAGAGACTGAGTTTTTCGTTCCAAAGGCTTTATTAAGCCAAGCCTGGCGACCGCCTCACTCTGCAAGAGGAGAATGGCCCCAAGGTCTTGGCAGGTGGAAGTTTTATAGGGCTTGCTTTCCGGGGTATTGGGCAAAAAGCAGAAGCAAAGCAGGTGTAAAGAAGCAAAAAGAGCTGTTAGTTCTTGTGAAATGTTCCAAGCCAGTTGTGACAAAACTACTTCTGCAAAACATTGTTAATATTTCTGTTGTAACCCATCTCTTGTAAAGCTAGGTGTTTACTGTCTATTACTACCAACCCCTGGTGTCTTAATGGGAAGTTCTGCTTAGAGTTTAGCTGAAGTATGATTTTTGATTTTTGATTTATTTTTATTTATTTATTTTTTAGCTGAGCCATCCTGCCACCTCTTGGCAGCTCAGCAGCTGCTCAGCTCGGGCCAGGACTCGAACCACCGTTGCTCAGAGCTCAAACTCTTGAGCGAGCTCTTAACCAACTGAGCCACTCGGCCGGCCCTGAAGTATGATTTTTTAAAAGTGAGTCTGTCTGGCCTAGGGTCCAGGCCAGGGTCCTCACAACATGATGTACTAAGTGAAATATATGGATACAAAAATCACCCTGAGGCAAAAAATGGAGAATTATCAGTTCAATGCTTTCCTTAACTAGCATTGTAATGGTATTTGCCCGTTGCCTCCTATTTTAAATCAATGGTCCATTGGGATATAAATTAAATTCATGTGGCTAAGAATAAAAACCATTAAAAACTGCAGGTATCAAGATGGCTGCTGTGGTTAGCAGTGCTTAGCAGAGTGATAGATCAACGGGGAGACTATATCATGAGCACAGTTGGCTGATCTGTATTTACTGTCCTTCGTGTTCACTCTTTTGGAAGCTCCCAGAGCATTCTGTTTTAAAGTGAAAAAACATAGATATTTTATTTGTTGAGAATTTAAAAATAGAAATTGAAACAGGCATCATTACTTCCTTTTAAGATCTGAACCCTGGAATCATCTTTGTACAGCATCTTTTGGGAAATAGTTTAAGGAATGACCTCAAAGTGAGATAAATACAAGATGATTCTTGAGATGCAAGAAGAGAATCATAACCCCTATTTGTATACACTTTTCAATCTCAACATTTTTCTTTCCATTTGTGTTTTTGAAATTTTATACATGGTATAGCAGTATAAACTTTTTGCAATTATATATATATATATATATATATATATATATA